ATTCCTTCATTCCTTCATAGATTTCTACACTCGGGCTTCCTGTGTTATCATGAAAATTTCGCAAATACCGCTAGTTCCCTAAATAAAACACTATTCACTCTATTCCTTTCAAATTTGCATTGTCTTTCACTTCCCATTTCATTTATCGTTCTATTGCATTTTGTTATGAAGTCTATATGGGAAAAGCCCGCAACTCGCCGGCCCCCGACGACCCCTCACGCTCGAAAAGCATTCTGGATGGAACAGTGTTATTGTATCTCATCGCTTCAGTGGCTGGGAAAGAAAGCTCCGCACTACCAACACTCTACAAGCAATCTCTCCTAACAAAAACAATCCTACGAGTTTATTTACCCTCTGATCTAACATTCCCAATCAATTATCTTCCCATCAGAGGTAAATCAAGTCATGGGTAAGTGAAGATTTTTGCTTTGTCTTCAAATCGCGCGCGAAAAGCGCCTCAAAAACCAACGATTCGAATTCTTTTGTCATGATTTTTAACCTCGGATTTGACTCTTCTTCCTCGCTTTTAAGCTCTTAAAATCTTAAAATGTCCTTGCAGGGGAAGCTGATATATTCTGTTGGAAGTGTAGAAAGCCTTGTTCTGGAGAAATTCTGAAATTCAACGACCATATTTTTCATTCAGACTGTTTGACTTGCAGAGGTAAAGACAAGCTTATGTTTACTACGATAATTTTCAAATATGACCTTCAATTGTCTATAATTTCCCTTTAACTACGGGCTTAGAATTTCCTTTCCTGGTTAAATCCAAATTGTAAAAACCCCTATCTCTCGAGAACGAGAAAGATTAGCTGTATTCAAACAGGATTTTTGTTTTTATGTTTTTTACTCCTCGTAAAGTGTGCAATCTTTTGTATTTAAATCATTATTACTACTTCAAAATAACACAATAAGCTTTATGCAAAATAAATGCTAAGATCTCCTGGTAACGCTTCTTTCCTGCATATAAAACACTCCTCTAAAAGCGACATTCTTTCCAAGTACAAGAGCTTTCTGGTTTCAAATTACAGCTTAAAAATTGATCCAAATTTTCAATTTTTTACTTAAAATTTTTACGAATAAATCTTCTAAATCATCAATCTTAGAAAATTGAGATGTTTTTTCAAAATTCCAGTTAGAGATTTGTTTAATTTTTGTTTTATTTATGGTTAGATTCATTAGAGAAGTTTAGATAAGCGTGCAAAAGGGACGCTTTTAATGTCACAAAGTGTGCCAGAAATGTTCATACTTTAAATTTTTGACATATCGTGAAATATAAAGAGCTCAGAGATTGGATTTCTCGCTACTCAAGTGTATAAAGAGACGCCATCACGATATATCTTCAATAAACCACATTCATATATCTTAAAATGCAAATAACTACCAAAAAAGACATATTATTATAAATAATTCTCAAATATTTTGTAATAATATTTTTAACATTTTGAATCAAAAAGTTTTRTTTTTGATAATGTAAAAAAAATTCATGCTAGAGTAATTTTCACTCACGCTTTACAAATATTCTGGATGTATGTTTTTAGTTATTTGCTAGTCAAGGTTGAAAAAATATATTTGTTGTCTTTTGAGAAGGATACATTTATTGTCCAAACCCAAGTCAATCGGTTTTAGCAGGTGCCACACATATATTATTGTTAAAATTTCTATATTAGTATGAATTATATTTAAGATTATACAATATTACACAAAACTGGCTCAATTTACTCACATTCTGTGCATATTTTTAACAATTAGTCATCTTAAATTATCGAGGCATATACTCACGATTTACTCAATGATCTAATTTTATATATACTCCAAATGAATAATATTTTTAAATATTCACACATAATATATATGGTTTGTGTACAGTATGTATCCGTTTAAACRCAGCATGACAGTATATGGTGCTACGCCTTTGAAATATACCTTGTTCACCATATGCATGAACTACCAAATTTATGACTCAGTTCATATTTCATGCTTTCTATTTATAGGCTATAATCAAAGCTAATTTTAAAAGTTATTAAAATGAAGAGAGTCATAAAATTCTGCCTTCATGCCAAAATTTTAAATTATTTTAAAGATTGGTTTACGGTAAAMTAAATATTTTAGCAATGTTTTGRCTATTGTATGTTTATTTAGTTAATTTTAAACATAAAAAATCAGATTAATGATAAACGCCAAGATTAGTTTAAGACAAAATAATGATATATATTTTTTAATTCAGTATTTTTCTTTTTCTTTTTGTAAAGCGCTTTAGAATATGTTATAGTTTAAGCGCTATATAAATTTAATATATTATTATTTATTATTATTATTGATAAGTAGCACTAATAATAAAACAATAAAAACATTAGACATTGCACTATTTAGTGTAAAAATAAATTAACTGTAAGTAATAAGTACTGTTTCATGATTTATAATTACAGTAGCATATGTTTACACTTTAACAATGTGATTGAATAGGTAAAACATGTAAGTATATTTAGCATGGTCTTGGCTCCTACAAGTTATATAATTTACCCGCAAGGACTCAAGTCATAATTCAATAGTATTTCAAAGAATAATCATTTTTGAAATAATTCAGTATYGATATTTAGCAATTATTTGCCGAAGGCGAAGTAAATATTGGGGAATATTTACCGAKACGYGAGKCTTCAGCGAGGTAAATATTCTCCATATTCACTGAGCCTGATGCGAATAATTGTTTTAGCATATACCAACTTGTGTGCAGAGTAACTTATTTTTATATA